AAGATGAGGATTAATCGGGCAGTAGCAAAGAAAAGATGAGGGCAAGGGACATGTTGGAGAGCCATATTATGAGCATAGATAAATGACTGATGTGAGGCATGAGAAGTGGATAGGCCATGCTTTAGTAAGGCTTCTCACTTAGCTAGGAAAAGTAGGAGGAAATGCAGGTCTAAATGTGGGGCAGTTGATAAGTTGTATTTGTAAATTGCTGAGTTTGAGGCGCCTGCAAGGCATTCACATGAAATGGGTATGAGGCAGCTGCTAATGCAGACTGCACTATCATTTTGAAACTCAGTGCCTTTTTCTCTTAGACTCCCAATATGGGTTTCTGGACTCACCTCAAAGAGGAACCAGATGCTGACCAGAGCTAAACTGGCCACAAGATCATGAAGGGGCAACCTGGACACAGAAGACCAGAAGTGGAGGCGCCTGGGTGGCTCAGTCGTTAAGCATCTGCCTTTGGCTCAGGTCATGATCCCAGGGTCCTGGGATCGAGCTCCGCATCAGGCTCCCTGCTCTGCGGGAAGCCTGCTTCTCCCTCTCCCACTCTCCCTGCTTGTGTTCCCTCTCTTGCTGTGTCTCTCTCTGTCAAATAAATAAATAAAACTCAAAAAAAAAAAAAGAAGATCAGAAGTGAGCACTGCAACTTGACACATGACAGCTAAACAGACAGCCACCCCAGGTGCTGTAGGAGGGCACGAATAGCCAGTTCACAGAAATCATGCTTAAATGAGTTGTAGGTGCCATATGGAAAAAACCATAGGGATATGACTATCCAGGAGATACAGGAGTTCTTGCTCAGAGATGAAGATTCTGGATAATAGGGGGGCGCCTGGGTGGCTCAGTTGGTTGAGCAGCTGCCTTCGGCTCGAGTCATGATCCTGGGGTCCTGGAATTGAGCCCCGCATCGGGCTCCTTGCTCCGCGGGAAGCCTGCTTCTCCCTCTCCCCTCCAAAAAAAAAAGATTCTGGATAATAGGAAAGGGGATCAAACAAATGTTCCCTTTGACCTGGTGTTATTTTCTCTCAGAGATAATGTGCTTGTCTTCCCAAGAGCTTCTGTAAAAGTAAATGTGGGCTCTCAGGAAACTAGGAAAAAGAGAGGGGCCTTCCTCAACCTGATAAAGAATATCTACAAAAAGCCTTTATCATACTTAATGGTGAGAAACTCAAAATTTTCCCACTAAGATCAGATATAAGGCAGAAACGACCCCTCTCAACTACTCCTTTTCTTTTCGAAGATTTATTTTACTTATTTTAGAGAGAGAGAGAGAGCGGGGGGGAAGGGTCAGAGAGGAGAGAGAAACACAAGCAGATTCCGTGCTAAGTGAGGAGCCCAAAGCAGGGCTCGATCTCATGACCAACCATGAAATCAGACCTGAGCTGAAACCAAGAGTTGGACACTCAACAGACTGTGCCACCCAGGTGCCCCTCAACTACTGCTTTTCAACATCATATTAGAAGTTCTAGCTAATGCAACAAGACAAGAAAAAGCAATAAAAGGTATAAAGATTGGGAAGAAAGAAGTAAAACTGTCTTTTTTCACAGGTGACACAACTGTCCGTGTAGAGAACCCCAAAGAACTGACAAAACAAACAAAAAGATTCCTGGAACTATTAAGCAATCCATAGCAAGGTTGAGATGAAAAGTTAATATACAAAAGTTAATTGCTTTCCTATATACCAGCAATGAACAAATGGAATTTGGAACTGAAAGCACAATACCATTTACATTAGCACCCCCAAAAACGAAATACCCAGATATAAATCTAACAAAATATATACAATGTCAATATGAGGAATACTGCAAAACTCTAATGAACAAAATCAAAGAACTACATAAATGGAGGGATATTCCATTTTCATGGATAGGGAGACTCAATATTGTCAAAATATTAGTTCTTCCGGGGCGTCTGTGTGGCTCAGTCAGTGAAGTGTCTGCCTTTGGCTCAGGTCATGATCTCCAGGTCCTGGGATAGAGCCCCACGTCGGGCTCCCTGCTCAGTGGGGAACCTGCTTCTCCTTCTCCCTCTGCCTCTCCCCCTGCTTGTGCTCTGTCTCTCTCTCAAATGAGTAAATAAAATCTTTTTTTAAAAATGTCAGTTCTTCCCAACTTGATCTATAGATTCAAAGCACTCCTAACCAAAATCCCCGCAGGTTATTTTGTGGATATCAACAAACTGATTCTAAAGTTTACATGAAGAGACAAAAGACCTAGAATAGCCAACACAATATTAAAGGAGAACAAGTTGGAGGAATGACATTACTGGAGTTCAAGACTTACTATAAAGCTACAGTAATCAAAACAAAATTATATTGGCGAAGGAACTGACAAATAGATCAATGGAACAGAAGAGAGGGCCCAGAAACAGAGCCATGTAAATACAGCCAATTTATCTTTGACAAAGGAGCAGGGGCAATACAATGAAGCAAAAACAGTCTTTTCAACAAATGGTGCAGAAACAACTGGACTTAGACATGCAAAAAAAAAAAAAAAGAATCTAGACACAGATCTTATATTCTTCATAAAAATTAACTCATAATGGACTACTGACCTAAATGTAAAACACAAAACAATAAAATTCCTTGACTTAAATAACATAGGTGAAAACTCAGATGACCTTGGGTATGATACAACACCAAAAGCATGATCCACGAAAGAAAAATTTGATGAGCTGGACTTCATTAAAATTAAAAACTTTTGCTTTCCAAAGAAATGTAAAGAGAATGAGAAGACAAGCCACAGACTGGGAAAAAATATTTGCAAAAGACACATTTGATAAAAGACTGTCATCCAAAATACACGAAGAATTCTTAAAACTCAACAAGAAAACAATCCAATTAAAAAAATGGACAAAAAACACCTCAGCAAAAGTATACAGATGGCAAATAAACATATGAAAAGACGTTCCACATCATATGTCATCAGAGAATACAAATTAAAACAACAAGATACCACTACACACCTATTAGAATGACCAAAATCCAGAACACTGTCAACACCAAATGCTGGTAAGGATGTGGAGCAACAGACACTCTCATTCATTGCTAGTGGAAATGCACAGTAGTACAGTCACTCTGGAAGACAGTTTGGCAGTTTCTTACAAAACATAGTCTTATCATATGATCCAGCAATTGCAATCCTTGGTATTTATCCAAAGGAGCTGAAAACTTAGGTCCATACAAAAACCTGCACATGGAAATTTATAGCAGTTTTATTCCTAACTGCCAAAATTTGGAAGCAACCAAGATGTCCTTCTTAGAAATGGATAAATAAATTGTGGTACATCCAGACAATGGAATGTTATTCAGCACTAAAAAGAAATGAGCTATCGCCAAACTATGGAAAGAGCCAATATGTCCATCAACGGATGAATGGATAAAGAAGATGTGCCATACACACACACACACACACACACACACACACACACACAATGGAATATTATGCAGCCATAAAAAACCCGAAATCTTGCCATTTGCACAACGTGGATGGAACTAGAGGGTATTATGCTAAGCGAAATAAGTCAATCAGAGAAAGACAAGTATCATATGATCTCACTGATATGAGGAACTCTTAATCTCAGGAAACAAACTGAGGGTTGCTGGAATGGTGGGGGGTGGGAGGGATGGGATGGCTGGGTGATGGACATTGGGGAGGGTATGTGCTATGGTGAACGCTGTGAATTGTGTAAGACTAATGAATCACAGACCTGTACCTCTGAAACAAATAATACATTATATGTTAAAAAAAAAAAGATAGTAGGAAGGGAAAAATGAAGGGGGAGAAATGGGAGGGGAAGACGAACCATGAGAGACTATGGACTCTGAGAAAGAAACTGAGGGTTTTAGAGGGGCGGGGGGGGGGGGGATGGGTTAGCCCAGTGATGGGTATTAAGGAGGGCATGTATTGAATGGAGCACTGGGCGTTATACGCAAACAATGAATCATGGAATACTACATGAAAAACTAATGATGTGGGGCGCCTGGGTGGCTCAGTCGTTAAGCATCTGCCTTCGGCTCAGTCATGATCCCAGGGTCCTGGGATCGAGCCCCGCATCAGGCTCCCTGCTCCGCGGGAAGCCTGCTTTCCCCTCTCCCACTCCCCCTGCTTGTGTTCCTTCTCTCGCTGTGTCTCTCTCTCTCAAATAAATAAAATCTTTAAAAAAAACAAAAAACTAATGATGTAATGTATGGTGACTAACATAACATTAAAAAAAAAAAAAAAAGAAATGAGCTATCAAACCATAAAAGATATGGAGGGACCTTAACTGCATATTACTAAGTAAAAGAAGCCAATCTGAAAGGGCTATATACTATATGATTTCAATTACATGACATTCTGGAAAAGGAACAACTATGAAGATAGTAAAAAGTTGCTGGGAGTGGGGGTAGATGGGCGTCTGGATGGGCACCCGGGTGGTGCAGTCGGTTGAACATCCAACTCTTGGTTTCTGCTCAGGCCATGATCTTGGGGTCATGGGATCGAGCCCTGCGTTGGGCTCCATGCTCTGCACAGAGTCGGCTTGAGATTCTCTCTCCCTCTCCTTCTGCCCCTCCCACTCATGCTCTCTCTCTCTCAAATAAATAAATCTTTAAAACAGAACAAAACAAAAGTTGCCAGGGGGATGATATGAGCTAAATAGGGAGAGAGAGCACAGATTTTTAGAGCAGTGAAAATACTCTGTATGATACCATAATGGGTACATGTCCATAGAAGGTACAACACTGAGAGTGAACCCTAGTGTAAACTATGGACTTTGAGTGATTATGATGTGTTGATGGGAGTTCACTGTAACAGATGTACCACTCTGGTGAGTGATGTTGATAGTGGGAGAGACTACACATGCGTGGGGGAAGAGGAGTATATATACATATATATGTATCTTCCCCTTAATTTTGTGCTATGAACCTAAAGAAAACTGCTCTCAAAAAATTAAGTCTTCATAAAAGAAAATCAAATAAATGAAGGCATTTTCTTTAGACATGTACTTCCTTGTCTCACCATGATTCTCGGCTCTAATGTACTTGGTCCTCATCTCCTGCTGCTGATGCACATAGGTCCTCCAGGTCTGGAACATCAGGTTGTATAAGTAATATCTGAGGAGGCCAAAAAAAAAAAGGCAAATGGCATTTCTTTCTTTCGTTCCTTTTTTTTTTTTTTTTTTAAGATTTACTTATTTGACAGAGCAAGAGAGAGAGAGAGAGCAAAAGACAGCGAGCTCACAAGCAGGGGGAGTGGCAAGTAGAGGGAGAGGGAGAAGCAGGCTCCCCACTTGAGCAGAGAGCCCGATGTGGGGCTCGAACCCAGGACCCCAGGATCATGACCTGAGCCGAAGGCAGACGCTTAA